ATTCTTGTTCATGCTAGCATGTTAGCATAGGCACACACTGACAATGGGGCTTGTTGCCCCCTCCCCAAATTTCCAATGCTGTCCGTAGTCATCAACCTCTGTCCTGAAATTCCGCCTTCGTGTCTCTAGTAGAGGACCCCTCTGCCATACCTACTGTACCAAGCCGCACATGTAGTTGTGAACAGAACCTGGGAAATCTAAAGCAAAATCTAAAATGAAGCAGAGCTGTCCAAAAGCTTCTTGTTCAGTCACAGTGATTGTGAGTCACAGACTATCCTGGGACACAGAAGACCCAGAGCACGGGATAATCCCCCTGGGGACACCAGTCTGTCCCGAATCTCCTTCACGGCAGCAGTATTAATATTATGAATATGATCATGAACATGAGCTAAAGGGTATGAATAACAAATAGCACAAGAGATATTAAATATGAATGAACAGAGGGCCTGTCTATGGAATTGGGAATAATATGGGATAAGATGGGGGCTTAGGGTAGGGTAGTTTTTTTGAAAAGGGTGTACAGCACGGGTCCTAAAAGCATGAGTATCTTAACACGGCATCACAGGACCCCCTTGGCACCTTCTGGTTGCAGGATGTGCAGGATAATGGCTGGGTTGCAGCCCAGATGCTCCCTCCCAGTAGGGAGCAAAAATGTGAACTGTGTCAGGGAGCTGGGAGGAAGCAAAAATGTGGACTGTGTCAGGGAGCAAAAACGTGGACTGTCTGGCAGGGAGTTGGGAGGGAAATATCAGGTTGTGAAACACTGGGTTACAGAATGGACGCAAGGTCTAGCAGCAGGAAGATGGCCTGTGATGTCATTATCTGACGGACATCATCAGTCTGTACATCCCAGGATGATTTCATACCAACTTTCATCACCCTTCCAGAGTTCTCCCCTTCTATGACATCACCCCCCACAGGTGGGCATGCTCAACATGTTTTGAAACTGCTGAATGACTTCCCGTATTCCCACACCAAGAAGGGGCTTGTACGTTTTACACGGGTGACACCTGGCTCCTAAGCAGCGAACATGTCAAACTCGCAATCCGGTGGCCCCAGCTCTCAGACAAGGTTGCCGCGGTCTCTGGCGGTCTCCGCAAGACGCCCACATGGAACAGGAGAGGGAGCAAGGCGGTCGCCCACGCGGCCGGCTGCTCGCTGACGCAGGGTTGGAACACTCTGTTCATTCAGGGTGATGTGGGGGGGGGGGGGATGAAATCGCGATGTGGGCAACCTGCACAGAGGCACCGCTACAACTGGAAATACTCAAGCTCATAAAGATTTCATAAACTTAGCTCTGGTCTCCCCTGAGCTCATACTCAGCTCAGGATGTCGACTCCAGGGAAGGACTTGTGTTTTGTCATATGGGGGTTGCATGTTCGAAATCCCAAAAGGTGCCAGAGGGAGGTGCTGACGTTCACAGATCTACCTGGCCCAGGTCAGATTAACCTAGATTAATTAAAACTGAGTAGACCCAAAAGCTGCAGCTAACCACCCATTAAGTTAACTGGGCCAGACCGACACAGCCAGCTGCAATTACATGACCTGCTCTGCTTCTCCGGTGCAGACCACCCAGGTATCTCACGGCGTTAAGGACGAGGCCCTGGGCACCACAGAAAAGTCTGGCCCGTTTTACCTGCACCATGAACGGAGGTAGTTGATACTGGGGGTTGGGTGGGGGAGCCATCTGTCACCATGGACTGCGGCTCTGGTCCCCTGCCCCCCCAACACACACGCACTGCCCCCAGTCTGTCAGAAAGCCCCCAGCTCGGATTCTATTCTTTGTAATGTTTATTACCTCATAATTAGATTTAGACACGCGCAATTCATTCTGAGGAACTTGCATCCATTCCCTCGCCATCATCAGATCAGATGTGCCTGGACACGCTCCTTATCCGTAATTAATTATCTGCGCTTGTGGACGACCGGGAAATAAAAGAGATAGGCACTGATGAGCGATGCCGTCCGTGCACGCAAAATGCCGTTTCGTTCGGGCCGTATCTCTCAGCCCCATTACACGGGAAATGGACTCTAGGGGTACGTTAAACAGGAGAATTAATGCAGACGGAGCTGGAACTGCAGCCCTTTTGCTGGCAGGAAAGTGAGTTTCAGCTACGATCCGTTTCTGGGATGACTTTGGACATGGACTAACAAAAAAAAAAAACCGGAACGGATCCTGCCGGTAGGATATAAAGCCACCCATTCCTGCTTAGGGCAGTTAACATTTAATCTCTAATAGGAAGTCTTGGAATACGGTGATCGCTTCAGCGCTGGGATGCAACCAAATGCAACCAAATCGCTCTGCTCTAAATTTAGAGCCTCTCTTCAAATGCCCCAGGAGTCAAATAATGTTTCTGTTCAAACCCACGCTCTCTATCCGTCCACATCCAGTGAAACACTGCACGATACAGAGCAATTCATGAAATGGTTTCCAGGCCACATTGCAGGGAAATGTTTCAGGTTAATATGATTAAAATATATGCCATCTCGCCAGCAAAAAAAGGCCATCAATGAAAAGCAAACAAATCTTGATGCCTGCATCTGTATTTTTTAAAAAGCTTTTTTGGATGGTTATATTTCTAGGAGTATATAGTAAAAAAAAGATGCAAATGATAGAGAATTAGGGAGCTATCAGGACTCAATACGTTTCCTGAGCAACCAGCCAAGGCAGCCAATGAGATTGAGGCAGGATTTTATCACTCATTATGGCCATTGCGGAGCAATAAATCTATTTTATTGGGAGGACCACACATCACTGCTCTGAGGACTTTTTCCTAAAATGCAATTCGGTACATTTACAGGCAGATCAGGAATTTCCACTTCATTATAAGAGTACAATAGAGCTAGAGTGTGCAGTGAAGTTTTCACTACAGTTCGTTTTCAGAAGAACAGAGGGATATTAATAATAGCACACTAAAAACTGCAACAACCTCTCCTCATTTCCAGTAACCTACAAACCATACAGAATTCAGGGCATCCGGAAAAAGACTGACAAAAAAAAGGAACTGAACATTATCTTTCTGGAGACAGTGCAGCCAGCTTCATTCGTTTTTTTTCCCTTTAGGAGTGGGTGTTTCCTGTCAGAGGGACGGGGAGTTCCAGCGCGGAGCTCTATTCCGGCAGGTGAATAAGGAAACTGTGTGAGGACCCAGGTGCCGACTTTTAGGCTGTGCGGGACTCCGTAGTGAGGGAACATGCGTTCTGCCCCAGATACGAAGAGAAGAAAGCCTGAATATATTCTGCGAGAGAGATGACGCGCAACATTTTTATACAAAGAAACAATTAAATAATAGCAAACAGTCACAATATATATCTTACGTATCTTATGCTCAAACTATTTAATATGGTGTGCGTGAGCTTTGAAAGTACTTGAGCTCCTGACCCTAAAAGAGTGTCCGCACAGCCCGCGACGCGTTTCTTTGATCATGTTAACTTTAGCTGCCTTAATTTTGATACCCCAATGGGAAATAGAATTGCCAAAGATTGTACGAGGAATTTAATTTCTATAATTAATATAGGCTACACACTATAAAATCTTTTCATGGTATTGCAACATGCCTGATTAAGCGATTAATTGGGATTATAAAAAAATCACTTGACGGCGCCATTAAGAATCGAGGCTCATTTTTAAATGTTGGTCTTCTGCCTCTCGCCACTGCACTTACAATTTATTTTTATTTCTTGGTCAATCCGCAGTAACCTAACAGGTCCTTGAAACCGCTCCCCTCCCCGCAGATCGCGACAGCACGGCGCCCCCAGCCCGTCACAAAACTAAAATTTCTTGGCAAATCGGCGCTCCGCGTCGCGTAGCTGTTCTATGCAGGCACTGCGGAGGGCTTTCGGTTTGCTAAGACAGAGCCCCCTTAGAAGATGCTGCTCTGGTTGGTACCACATTGCTGTTAAGGTTGGGACAGGGTTTTAATTTGAATGAATGAGATATTTTTACACCCATGTTATATGGCCATTTACTGGATAAGGGGTTGGAAGATGCATGGATGGGGTTTTCCATTTAGAGAGAATCCATTCTCACCCATCACTCCGCATTAAATTAAGGTTTTGTTCTTCAAATATTCCATTTTAAAATATGCGTGTAACAATATGAAAAAAATATTGAAAAACTCGTTTTTAGGTAAAAACGGTTTTTTTCCCCCCCACAGGTGCATCGCAATCTATTGTTAATATAGGTTTATCAAAACTAAAATTCAAAGTCTCTGAAATCGCTTATATGGGAAGACGACTGATGGGGTGTAATTTATTGCCTGCGGGGAACCGAAGAGTCATGTACCTCCGTAGTGGCGCCATTACGGGCTTCTTTGCTATATTTTCAAAGAAAGCAATTCCTCATGGATTTTTTTTTACACAAGTCTGAAAATGAGCTCTTAAGTTTTACCGTGACTAATTGCAGCAAGGCAGTCCTTTGGGCGAGGCGCATCAGAAGCAGGTCAAGGAGAATGTCAATGAAATATTTATATGAATTAGAACTGATTCACTTCTGCAGAATACAGTTAATGCAACGAATGTGGTGATTTATTTTGTTTTATATGCTGGTAGGCCAAAATTTATAGGCTACGCGTCAAAAGTAGACTAGGCAGAAATATTTTTGAGTTTTGTACTGAAACATGCTTTAGGTTCATATATATCAGGAATATAACGTTTTAAGCTAACCAACATTAAGTATTTCTGTAAAAAGTTTAAACATGTTTCCAACATTTCTGTGAATTCTTTAAATTTGACGTACTTTTGAATTCTAAATCTTAAAATTGCAATATACTGGCTAGTGAAAGCGCTCGTGACGGAAAGCAGGTTAATAATCGCAATCGTCTGAACGAAATATTTGCAGTAACACGTTTACGCCCCCTAGCAGTTGAAAAACGAGTCGCACTTTTTGTCGTTTTATGAAGACAGGCTACGTGCGGATGTGCGCCGTTTTCGTCCACGCTTACACTTAAGATCATCCATGTTTGTAAACGAGGGCCGAAGTGACCACACAAAACATCAAGTAAGAAGAAAATGTTTGCATTTATTCCACAACGTGAACAAAGATCTACACAAGCTATGCAGATGGAAGCATTTCATAGGAATAAAAGTATTACATATGAATAGACTTATTTTCCACCTTTTTATACTTGTATGTACAACCCATACGCCGCAAATGGAAAAACAAATAGTATTTAACATGTATCGACTGCCTTACCTGCTGCTCGTTCATATCAATGCATAGTCTATGCAAAGTTTAAACTTTGTTGCAAATAATGTGAACTGTACATCGATCGCGCCTCAGATTTAAACACACTGCCAAAATAAATTTTATTGATCGAAATTAACTTTAACATAAAACCGAATGAACATCCAGAAAAAGTAGCATTCCTTATTTACAAATAATGCATTAGCAAACACATTATTTTATATTTTTAACCATTGTTATAACGGGCTTATAAATAATTGAGCAATTGCACATGATAAGTCCTGAACGTGGTTCACAAGGCTGAGCGCACATGCGCACAAAGCGCGATTAGCGCAACCCACGTGGGCGAGTAGGTCGGTTCTGATCCTGGACCCGAAGAATGAACCAATCCCGCCTGCATTCGTGTCTAACAATTCGTTGTCGATAAAAACATTCCAGACATACAGTATTAAAATAAGAGGAAATTGTTTTTTATCGATAGCAACTGATTACCGACGTCACAGTGAAATCCCTAAACATATTCGAAGTTCTAATCCCACCTTCAGCGTAATTTGAAAATAAGCAGTATCCCCCACGATTTTGCGAGAAAATATCAAAATCCAAATACTACGAAGGCGCCAGGAATTTCAAGTGCAAAGGAAGCCATCAGTTAACCGTTCTTTTATAACTTATAGAAAGAATAAATTTTTCAAGTGGGAAGGCCATGGAACAACAATCCTTCTGGTTAATTAACGGAGAATTTGTTTGATGGATTTATGTTCCCTAAACTAACAACCACAAAATAAAACCTTCCCGAAGCAAGATTCTCCTAAATGATTTTGATCCACGTTTATCTATGCCCTAAATGATATTTCACACTAACACTTTCAGCTCCCCTATGGGAAAAATGTGTATGTACACAAACAAATATTACAAATTCAATACCCCAGACATCGCAAACATGAAAAATACATGTCTCAAATAAATCTGTGTGTAAAACTTAATACAGATTTTCGATGTATTTTTCAACACAATATCCGAACGGTAAGTTGTGACAAATATTTCACCCACCTCAAAATAAGTACATCTTTTAAAATAGCATCTCTGTATTTCCAAAGTGACCACTCACTGCTTCAGTGGGGTAATTTTAACACCGTCAGACAAACACAACAAAGGCAGGGAGACACATACGAGTTGCTGTAACAGCAAAAATCTGGGGGTCAGGAGGCTGCTGGAGATTCCAGAACCTTCCGTAGCTGCCACTCTCACTTAGCCCCAGATAAAGTCTCTGCTCTAAAATAGTACAGTCAGATGGTTAATTCAGACAAACAACAACAATACACATAGAAAAATGAAAAAGTAACAGCTTTAAATACTGTGGAGTCAAAATGAAGACCAGCAAATCAAAAAAAATTGCACAGAAACCCTTAGATGTTTTGTATTGCAAAAAAAGAAAAAGAAAAACATTTTTTTTTAAAGCATTCAGCATCTTTGAAGAAAGCATAGCCAGCATGCACTTGGGGCAACATTCCTGCGTACGGCAAAAGGGTAACAGTTTGCAAGGAAATGGGCTTCAACTACCAAAGGCATCCTGTCCGGGGACAGCTCGGTTTGACCTTTGAGTCTCCACCTCAGAAAGCTGGGGTGGGGGGTGTATCGAAACATTAAGGCAGTGAGTTACCTCAGGGGCAGCGCTGAGCTTGCAGAACCGTATGACGGAGCCCCGGCCGCCCTTAGGCCCTGTCCCGTTTGGATCCTGACTTGTGTCCTCGACCCCGTTCTGAAAGGACGCGCCGGCCGTCTTTGCAGGACCATGCCAACGGAATACCGTCACGTGCAAAACTGAAATTTTCACATTTCACCTTCATTAGGAAGTAACAGAGCAACCTTGACAAACAGCTGATAATCGGTGCGGCGTGTATCTATGGTGACGGACGGTAGAACGGCTGTTGAACTGTCATGCTCTAAAGCCTTGCATCAGACAAAAAAAAAAAAAAAAAAAAAGACAGGAAGACGTTACTGAAAGTGGAAAGGAGCAGTCGCTTCTTACAATCAGACGGTGCTTTAATCTGCTCAGTTTCTGTTGAATCAAACCATTTTTTATTGGAATGTCATATGTGGAAGTATTATCAATGGGGGGAGTGGTTATAATTTCAATAAAATAAAATAAAATAAAAAGACTCACAGGTACCATGCTGAGAAATTAAGTGTAACTTAGGGCAGCATTACATTGGTGGACGATTCGCAGCGGGTCGGTGATGGAAAGCTGACTGTCACACACCTCCAGCCTTGCTCAGGGGGCGCAGTCCTACAGCTCCTCATAGTCTCCGCCTCCGGACTTGACGGGCCCCTCCACCCCGGCCAGGAAGGCCTCCAGGTCGTCCACGTCCGTGGTCTTCTTTGTCTTCGGCTTCTTCTTCTTCTCCTTCTCTTTCTCCTTTTCTTTCTCCCTCTCTTTCTCCTTCTCAGCCGCTGTCCCCGTCTCCTCTTTCACCTTCTTCTTGTGTTTGTGCCGCTTCTTGCCACCTTTTTCATCCTCCTGATCAGATCCAAAAGCAGTTTTGCACACAATCCCAGCCTAAAATGCTCTGCTAATCCCTCTGCATGAGCTAATACTTTCACACAGAACACAAACAATTTCTAAGAGCCATCAAATAAATCCTGTCATCAGGGGCGTGGCTAGAAATTCTGGGGCCCCCAACAAGGTGTCAAACTGGTCCCCATTTAAATCTGCCAGGATATCCATGCCCCTCGGATGCCTCCAAGTGCCACCTGCCAGTTTATAAGTTAAACTGGGTTGATTTTTATTCCACTTTTCTTTTGAACATACCTCCTTGCTTTTCTTCTTTTTCTTCTTCTCTTTTGATGATTGCTTGCCTAATTTGTCTGGAAAAATAAAAACAAAGATCTCTTAGAAAGTTTTTGATTGGCCGATTGTTTCTGAAGGTTTGCACTTCATCTTGGGAGGGGGGGGGGGGTTGCATTACCAAACTTGAAACACGGGGTGCAATTAACAAGTATTTTCATTTTGAATAGTTTGTTATTTTTCCTCCACAAATGTATGGCAAAACCTCAATGTACTTGTGTTGGTGATGTTAAACAAAGAAAGCAAACAAAATCAAACAGCCGACATACACACACAGACACACGGGCAAGCCCCTGCACTGAGTACTTTGTCTAGCTAGTAACTTGTTGGTTTGTTTCCATAGAAACCTGATCTGTGGGCAGTAAGTTAAGTAATTCTCAAAACAGTCCTCGGGGACACCTAGAAGGTCCAGGTTTTTGCTCCCTCCCAAACCCTAGGAAATTGGGAGAGATCAAAAACATGGACTGTCTGAGGGTCCCCAAAGACTGGGTTGAGAAACACTGTGTTAAGAAACTTGGAAGTTTTGGTTGTGGGGTTAGCAATTAGCACCTGCATTGTTTTTGCTCAATGGAAGCAGGCCCAGATAGATCTTTCCAGGTGTTTTGAGGAGCACAGGTGTCCAAGTCACATCAATGAATGAGAGCTTACGTTCTTGGCCCTATTCTGAACACCACTTCACTAGGTCTAATAATTTAGCTACACGTCTTCTTTCACTATGCAGATATCTAATTCTACCTCTTTCCCTCCAGAAAACAGCTCAGATTTTCAAGTTCCTTGTGAACTCTGTAGCCACGGATGAGGGATCATCACCTTCATGGTTATCCTTTGCTGTCTCCATCTGCAGATATAGCTTGTATATCAGGAAGATCAGATCTTATTTGAACATACAGCTCAACACCTTTTCCAGCCATGTGTTATGTCTCAGCTTGATTGCTCCAACTCTTTACAGACAGGGCTGCCAGCCTGTACTGTGAAGCCACTGCAGATGTTTCGAAATGCAGCACCACATCTGGTATTCAATCAGATATAATGCACTCATCTTGTATCCCTTTGTCACTCTCCTTTGGCTCCCTAGAGGAGCAGTTCTACCTACACAGAGCTCTGAAAAAAATGAGACCTCTCAATATAAAAAAATAAAAATCTGCATTTCTATGTCAATGGCAGCCATTCCATGTGTAGGATTTGTTGGTGTTGGTATTCAACACACATGATTCAACATAATGAGTGATTGACTAGTTGATTAGCTTAACCTAATCTTACCAAATGACGTAGGTTTGGGAACCACTGCTGTGAACAAAGCATACCTGTTTCAATAGGACCAAATGGTTGCCGTAAAACATTTCTAATATGTTAGATAATTCTAATCAAGACACATTATGCTACAACCACTGACCATGCCAAAGATGACGATTTCTAAAGGTCTGAGTGAGGAGGAGGAGGCCACAATCGTGGTTTTGCTGGCAGAAGGCTACACTGAGTGGCAGGTTGCTTTCAGATTCAAAATTTCTAAAACAACACCACATGAGAACAAGGTGAAGCAGGAGACACTGGGAACCAGCCACGTAGAGGGCAGAAGTGACTTTCTAATGCCAGAGATGACAGTCAACTTATCCAACAGTGCCTCATGAATCAGAGGATGACCTCAAGTGACCTTCAAAAAGAATGGGAACATTAAGTGCCAGTGTAAAGTGCACTGCTAGGACAGATCATATCAGACTCCAAGAAGCAGCACTGAAGTCCCATAAAGCAAGGAATTAGCCCATAATCAATGAGGAGTGGAGAAGAGCCAGACTGGGGTTTGCAAAAAACCATAAGGATTTGACTGTAGAGGACTGGGGTAAGGTCATCTTCTCTGACGAGTCCAGTGTTCAGCTCTGGGGTATGTTTGCCAAAGGTTCCCAATAGCAACGTACATAGTTGGAACCGTTCAGTTGCATGGTTCCAAGTATACAAGTTGGTAATGTTGTCAGCATCAATGAAATTTTGGGAAAAGTACCCCTACCCAACGCCTGGCCGTTTGATGGTTAGATGGAGACTTGGAAAGACCTACGAGCCCCAGTGCCATGCGCCCACTGTGAAATTTGGTGGAGGATCACTGATTATCTGAGGGAGCTTCAGCAAGGCTCGACTGGACAGATTTGTCCCTGAAGAATGCATGACTCGACTAACGTACAAGGAGGTCCTGAAAAATACTTGTTTCCATCTACTCAGATCATGTTCCCCAACTCTGATGACTGGGTTTTTGAGCAGGACAATGCTCCATGCCATACAGCCAGATCAGGACCCTAACAAGGCCAACTCAATCTCTAGACCTGAACCCTAAAGAAAACATCTGGAATATTATGAAGTGCAACACGGATGATCACAAGCCATCAAACAAAACCAACCAACAACAATGTGAGGGACTGGTGGAGAACTTGCAAGAGACATCAAAGCTTTAATAAAGAATTGAGGTTATGCCACTAAATATTAATTACTGAGCCCTTCCTAGGTTAAAACTTTATTATTTAATAATGGATATAAACTTGTTTAGTTGGCAGGTGTAACTATTATACTTGATTTTTTGACTAGATGTCATTTTCAGCACAAAAAGTTTTGGCTGGAAAGAATTTATTTGCAATTTCGATTCAAATGTGGTCAGTAGTTTATTGGTATGTTTCTGTGTAAAATATACACGTTGATATATTTTATAGTAAATTGAGAAATGAGGGAAAGAGAAAATTTTGCTGTGGTCTTCATTTTTCCCCCAGAGTTGTATAGTTGCTCATCAAGACCAATGTTCCATATCACCTACAGTCATCAATCAAAACGCCACCTGAGTACTAGATGATGGAACAACCAACTCCAGTATATTCGGTCTGCAGAATCCCCCACAGCCTTCAAGGAACATCTTATGACCCATCTTTTTCTGAAACATCTCAGCTGACCACATCCTACCCTTCGGGGCTCTTGGTCTCTGTTGATTGGTCCGCTGATATGGCTTCACTTGGCACTAGTGAATTCACTTGTAATTTTGCGCTTAGACTTAGTTCATACCAGATTTTCTTTTTACTTAATATCTTTTCTCATATTAGGCTCTGTCATTTTATTTAGCTCTTGTTCCCATAACTATCTCGCACTTGTATCTAAGCTGGCTGCGTGACAGCTGTACTGTATACTTGTGATATATTATCTGTCTCAATTGCACATCGCTTTGGCAACTGCTAAATAAATAAATGTAAATGTAGACAGAGATGCAGGGATCCCCGATTGGTTGGTTTTTGGACACACGAGGGAGGGGCCCAACTTACCATCTTGATCGTCGCTGCTGACCCTGGCCGGCGTCTCTTCCAGGCCCAGGCCAAACAGATCGGCGGTGTCCTTGTTTTTGAAGGACACCACTGCGGGCTTCAGAGACTCAGGGGGGGCTGTCACTTTATGAGGCAGCAGCTCCTCATCTGACAGGTCAGAAGGGTCATCCCGCACTGGGAAGATGTCCTGGGGGCGAGCGGGGGGGGTTAGAGGATATGATATTAAATAATTACTCTATAATCAACTGGAGAAGGCAAAGCAATTTGAGAGGACAAAATCAGATCAGTGATGTGTGCTGCATTATTGATACCAAGTTCATTGCCATCTGAACCTGATTCACAGAGGTTGTGTTGCAATATAGCAATTTATTTATGACCTGATTAGTGTGTCAAACCTCAGTTTACCCATAATTCCTGCTATTATATCTGTTGTCAGGACGGCTTCTAGCCCTTTGCCCGGCTGCAGTACGGAGACAAATGGGGAACCTTATTTATCTTCTGCGTGTCTGATTCCTCGCTCTCGAAATCCGGGTCGTCCATGACGAAGGAGAGTAGCTGCTTGGCGACGGGGGCCTCGGGGTCCGTGTCGGAGGAGTCGCTCTCGGCGGCGCCCCCTTTCTTCTTGCCATGGCGTGCGGATCGCGTGGAGGTCGCAGCGGTGGGCAGGGAAGCTCGTTTCCCCGGCAACGTGGCAGGGAGCTTGTTCTCCGCCTCCTTCGTCTGGATGGGTTGAATCACTGTGTTGATGGGGGGGCTGAACCAGAAAGGCAGCAGGTGATGCGAGTGGTTAAAGAACATGCTGGACACCAGCAACGGCTGGCTTAGGTCCCGAGGGGGGGGTAGGCTGCTTGACCTTTGATACCTAAATGAACCATCCAGACAGTTAAATACTACTAATTAAAGTGCCTATATTAAATTAATTCATTTTAATTTAATTAATTAAACACTCCACTGAATGCCTCAAGAAGCAATTCCTTCTGAGGGCCATCAGACTGGGCAACTGGTGTATTTTGCTGGGCAAATGGGGAATAAATAGGCACATAAGACTTTTTCTTTCTAGAGTAAAATTTCTGTACTTATTGTCATATCCACTACCTATTTATTACTATCTCTGTGGCCCTGTTTTATTTAGCGCTGTTCAGTTTCAAAACCAAGACGCACTGCGATCCGAAAGCGTCCTGATGCATCCCCAAACAGGGCGTCACAATAACTGCACATGAGGCCATTTGACCTTCTAGCAGAAGCAATGTGGACAGTAATGAAATCTGAACACAAGTGCTCAGCTGGACACCATGGAGAAGCATGACGGACGTAAACGGTGATGTCTACTTGTGATCTGATGGTCCAAGACCAAGTGTAAACAGGACCTATATGTTAGATATATATTTTTAAAAACTGTTGTAGATGGTGCTATGTATTGTCTATTTTTGTCTTTGTGTGGTTGTGTACTGTTCAGTCTGCAATCACAAACAATTTCCTTAAAGATAACTTCTGGGATTTAGAATCAAAGATTTATCTTCTGCATATCTCAAAGGCATCTTCTGCTTCTCAAAATCCATCCCAAGAAACAATCACCAGCCTTAAGTCACCCAGTTGGTGACACTGGGACTAAAACCTACAGTCGGGTGGTGGCGGTGTGTGAGAGAGCCCCTGACCACACTCACTCCCCTCACCGTTTGCCGTCCTCCCCCATAGGGGCGGCGGGGGTTTTCAAATGCGGCTCCTCCTCGTCACTGGATAGAGTGACATTCGTGCTCTGTGAGGTGGCGGAGGGCCCGCGCCTGGATGGGGCCTTGTCATCAGGGTCCAGGTCGTCCTGGAAACCAGCCACTAGGGGGTTCCCTCCTCTGCCCTCTCCGTCGCTGTGAGGGGAGACATCGCTCCTTCTCAAACATCCAAAAGGACACAATGGCTCTTATACTGAGGAAACTGAATATGTGACGCAAAACGACCCACCCAACAGGGATATGGTAAAAAATGCCAGTCTCCCTGTGGAATAAGAGCAAGCGCAACCCCCCCTTGGAGGTCAAAGGTCATAGGAGATGGGGTCCTAGGCACCACCCCGGCCCCCCTTACCTGTCACTGTCCACGGTGGCTGTCGGCTTGGCCTTCGCTTTTCCCGTTCCGCTGTCCTCCAGGAAGCTGCGGTCCAGGCCGTCATCCGGCACAAAGTCGTCCACGCTCTGCACGTTCCCTTGCGGCTTGGGGGGCGGGGCATCTGCTGATGGGGGCAGGGCGATGCCACCACGGTCACAACGGGCTCACACATCAAATCACATCACAACACCCTCGTGGAATAAAATCTTAGAGCAGTGCTTCCCAACCCAGGTCTTTTGGTCCCTCCCAGCTCCCTGCCAGAAAGTCCACGTTCCGTCGGGGCGATGGTGATGCTATCGTTCGGCAACTGGAGGGTTGCAGGTTCAAGCCCCGTTTCCTCCTGACCCCATCGAAGTGCTCTTGAGCAGGACACTGAACCCCAAATTGCTCCCGGTGAGCAGGTTGGCACCTTGAATGGCAGCCTCCGCCACCGGCGTGTGGATGTGAGTGTGGATGGGTGAATGTGAGGCATGTATTGTAAAGCGCTTTGAGTGCTCGTAGGAGTAGAAAAGCGCTATATAAATGCAGTCCATTTGCCATTTTTGCTACCTCCCAAAACATTGAGCAAACACATGCCTCGTGTGTGGGTTCCGGAGGACCGGGTTGGGAAACACCGTCGTAGAGTAAAGCAGGAAGACTTGGGTCAGCACAGTACCTACAACCATTCATCTGCTACAGGGTGGCTGGGGGTTTATTCTAAGCTGGGATGCTGGTCCATCACAGGACACAAACATATCAGCTCTGTCCAGAATACATTACATTAGGCTTTCTCCCACGTGCCTGGGGTGGGGGAGTGTATGCAGGGAGGTGTGAAGAGTGATGGGCCACCCCCAACTCCACCTTCTGGCGTCACGCATCTGCAATGCAGCAGGGGCAGCATGCGTGCCTGCGTGTGTTTCTGCATGGTGGGTATGGGCATTTTATCCTGCCGACAGTAAGACACCTCCCTCATCAGCATTCCGCCCACGGTCGCGCTGCATCTGCCACAGCTTCTGATAAAGGCGGCCCAGTTTCCGCGTGACTCCACCTCGCCCTCTACAGGCCTGTGGGAGTAATGCCACGAGCAATGTCGCGATCGTGCAGGAAACACGCTTTGTTGCACTTGCCGTCTGCAGACAGCAGGGGGCTCCAGATTCCCAAAGTCCTCACCTGTGGGGCCCTCTGTGGAGGCAGCCCCGAAGAGTCGCGAGATGAAGCCCCGCTTCTGAGTGGGCGGGGCCTGGGCCGCAGGGCCCGGGGGTGTGGCCGGCTGCGGGGGGCGCTCCAGTGACTGGGCGGGAGGCTGTGTCTGTGGGGCAGGGGCTGGCGTGGCGAGGGGAGGGGGAGGAGCGCAGGGGGGGGAGGCCAGCAGGATGTGGGGGTTAACGCCGGCCTGGGGCGTCCCTGGGCTGGGGGTGGCCGTGGAGGGTGCACTGGGGGGCACGATGGGCGACTGCGAGCCGGAGGAGGGGCTCTGTCCGTTGGCGGCACGGCTCTCCATCCGCTCCAAAAATCTGCAGAGTCAGACCTTGAGTCAGCCTTTGACTTTGAGCCTCTCTCCGCTGCACCATCACACCACAGAAGGAGAGGCTCTCCTCACTGTCATCAATCCCTACCTCACACTCCCAGAGCCCCTTGCAAAGACCTTTCCTCCATTTTCACCAAGGCGTGGCTGCCCAGGCCTTTCCCTCGTCTTCTACCAAGAGCCGATTTTATCTCCCCTCAAAGATGCCACCCTGCCCACCACGGCACCTCTCTGGCGCACCATCTGCCCACACTGACCTCTGCCCGGCCCTCAATCTGCTGAGACCTAAACACCTACTGGATCCCACCCTCCAAAGCAGGAGTACCCGCTTGCTGTACTTCCTGCAGGTTTCCATGCCAACGACTGATCCAGCCAACAGGAATTCATTGCTTTACCAGAAGCCAAATATGGACATTTTATTTTCAGGAAATACAGCAATTTAAAAAAAAAAAAACAACCTTTAGTGTGATGGTGTAGGAGGGTGTGAGGGAGTAAAAAATAGAATTTCTGACTCTATATACAGAACTTATATAAATGGGAAGCTCCTTATGCTCCTGTGTACATACATGTCGTAGTTCTGGTCCTCAGTCTCCTGCTGCACAGTCAGCTCCTCCAGAGTGGCATCAATGTCGAGCTGGTTGGTCTCCAGCTGCCGTAGCAGCGTCTCCCTCTGCATGGTTACAGACAGCTGGCCTCAGCCAATCATGAGGCCCCATGTGACTCCGCCCCCATTTGACTCCACCCCCCCCCCCAGGGCAACAAATGAAAACACATTCGCGGATGAAAGGTGATCGGCGTTGCCCTCGTGCTCTTTTGGTCTGTATCATTAATAATCAAACGGCAGGTTTAGGTTACTGTGGGCCGGGCAGCGGAAACTCAACCAAGTTAGTGGGTGGTAGACACTCAACCAAGTTACTGGGACTGAATCGGCACTCCTTCCCACCCCAAACCATTACAGTTGTAAACACGGCATGTATACTTTGGGGGACATTTTTAAATTTTTTTTAAAAAGCTCCTCACACAGTCGATTTACATTTACTTAGCAGATGTTTTTGTCGAAAGTGACATACAATTGAAAGCAGACAGTACCTGGAGCAATTAGGGGCTAAGGGTCTTGTTCAATGGCCTAACGGTGAAATCAGAGATTTGAACCGGCAACCTTCCGATCACAGGCACAGAGTACTAACCCACTGAGCCACACATTGCCCTGCAGGCCTGACCAGGGGGATTATGGGATACGGTCTGTGGCGCTTAAATCTCACTGCTGCCGAGCTGTTTATTCGATTCCATGTTTGGATAAAATGCCGCTCAAGTCACAGTGCTTTCAGGGGGAATCTTGGTGTTGTGGAGCTTGTAGAGTTTAGCAGGGGATTAATCAGGGAGAATGGAGTCAGCGGCTTCGTAAGGGGGTGGCATGCGTCGAATGCCCTCTGAGAAGACGTCCGTGTCAGGTGCTGCGGCCTGAGGCCCCAGCGTCACCAAAGCCATCGCCATGAATAATGTAAAACCAGCAATAACCGGCCGCCACATAAATGCTTAATGCGTCCGACGCTGTCCGTAAACACGCTGGGGGCTCGGGCCGGACTGGGGCGCCTCGCAGGCGCCAGCTATGCTGAAATACTCAAAAAGCAGGGCCATTCCAAGTATAGCTCCTTGGGGGGGGGGTAACAAAGCCTTCCGCCATCCCACTCCAGGTCTTAGCACCAAGCAAAAGGCTTAGCGATGCAAAACAAGTCTCACAAAACCCAGGAACTGACCTGCAGCTGCAGGAAGGGGATGTTGAAGAACCTGTGCAGGTACTTCAGGCCAAAGCCGTTCTTCATGGAGGACTCGGCGTAGTGGATGTAGGACGATCCGAGGGGTCTGAGCAGATAAAAGGCAACAGACAAACAAGATAGAGAGAGAGAGTGAGAGAGAGAGAAAGAGAGAGAGATAGAGATAGAGAGAGATGACAGGGGATGTGCAGATCATGCAGGTCTTATGATAGTCTGGTGACCAAACCAAGTCCTGACCTTCTGGTTTAGGGGAGAAAAGAAAAATTCTCTCTCTCACATACATCCACAAAAACCAAAGCAGAGCAAAGTCGTTTTTGTGGATGGTTCTGAATTTCTGTTATAGGACCATAAGCACTGCTGTTGTACCCTTGAGAAAATGAACCGAAAACCGAAAACCTTTCTTGCAGGTCTAGCCAATAACTAAACGTAAACTGAAGGTCTCCTGAAGGTCCGGGTGGAGTACGGCGCCCCCTACCTGTTGAGGCCCACGATAAAGTCGCGGATGTCATCGGGCAGGATGACGCGGTGCTCGCCCATGTCACGCTGGTTGCCCAACACACACACAGGCACATGGCTGGGCACCTTGGGTAGCTCCCGGATGATGTAGTTAAACGTCCTGCGTTTGGGCGGCACGGCAACGGAGGACACGGGGTTAGTGAGGGAGCCGCCACATAACCAACGTGTTTCAGGCATGTAACATGCAACTGGTCACATTTCTGTTAATCCTGTTATAATATAATCCTATTACAAGTCATGGGATGTTGACCTACAAATTTCTGAGCCCATAATAAAGTGATTAATAATCCAAACCAAAGAAAATCCCCAAAAAATGAATTTTCTATTCACCCTCAAACAAAAAACTTTACGACCCCCCTACCCCCTACCCCCTACCCCCAGAAGATGGTGCATACCACTGCTTGGTGATGTCAAACATCATGATGACGCCGTTGCAGTTCTTGTACACGTCCAGGAACTCGGCATCCAGAGCCAGCTCCGTCTCAGCCTGGCGGGGGGAAGGGGGACGAGGTTCAGGGTCCAACAATCGGGTTTACAGAGCAGGAAGAATGATTGAGGCCAGGATGGAGCATGTCGGCTGAGCGCGTCGCCAAGGAAACGTGCGTCCTGTAGCTGTTGCGCTAGACTTTTCGCCACCGACGTGCTTCAAGTGCCGTCAAGTTTAGTTGTTACTACTGCACTACTACCTCGTGGTCAAGACTCCTCCACCAGGCTCCTTTATTCTTGTAAAATTCTCAACGCGTACATATTTATACATCTTTGTATATACAGACGCTCTCTGGGTTACGATGGTCCGTGTTACGATATTTCGACTTTAAGATTAGGTATTCCAATTCCATTCTGTTTTTCACACAGTACACTATTCAATAAATTACATGACATATTCAACACCTTATTATAAAACACACTGCGTTAATGAGTTTGCCCAACTGTAACTAAGTGTTCTAAGCCTGTTTAAGGTAGGCTAGGCTATGACGTTTGTTAGCTTAGGTGTACTGTATTAAAATGCATTTTCGCTTTATGATATTTTCCATCCATCCATCACCGTAACAGCTTAATCCCAACCGGGGTCGTGGGGGGGGACTGGAGCCTATCCTGGGAAAAACGGGCACAGGCAGGAACCAGCACTGGGCACACACACACACACACACACACACACACAATTACAGGGCCAACTTAGATTCGCCAATTAACCTACCGTACACACTTTTGGACTGGGGGAGGAAACTGGAGCCCCCAGCAGAAACCCACACAAACACAGGGGGAGCATGTGAACTCCACACAGAAAGGTCCTACACCCGACCCGGGGACCGAACCCAGGACCTAACCACTAACCACCACGACACCATGCCGCCCTTAAGATATTTTCGCTTTATGATATGTTTATCGGAACTTAATCCCATCGTAACCCGGGGAGAGGCTGTACTGCATGTACATGTTTAATTTTTTTTTTACTTCACTCTTCTTTTTTTCTTCTGCACCATCTCTGGAGTGACATAGCAAATCCCATTGGCCACTGTACGATGACAATAACAGTAGTCTAATTCAATTTCTGAAGTTCTCTTTAGAATTAGAATAAGTTCTCAAGCAGAACGACCATCTGCAGCCATACTGGGAAAGAGAGACGACTCACCTCCTGCGGCTCATTCTCCAGCTTCAGAGAGTCCCCCTTCTTCTTTCCTTTTCCTATAGTAAGTGGGGGGGGGGGGGGGGGGGGGGGGGGGGGGTGGGGGAGAGATATATGTACATACAGTTAGAGGAGTAGCAAAGCTGCGTGAGCTTTGGGGGGGGGAGCGTGGTAAGTGATGCAAGCAACTGCAACCATGAGCAGCCAGAATCAGCCTGCCAATGCATAAGGCGGGGGGGGGGGAGGCAGACACCGCAAGGGGCGCCCTCCACTCTCCTCGACGAGTGAGGGGGGAGGGGGGAGTTCCAAGCTTCCCGGGAGATACGGAAACCACCCGGTGGCAGCGGTTGGCTTTGCTGGAAGCGGGTGAGCAAGGTTTAAACCCCCGGAGGTTTAAATTATTAAGAAGCGGGACTTCAATTACGCAGCTCGCGTAGAAAATAAACCCCTTAAATCACAGAGGGCAACAGAAGCCCTCCAGAGGGCTAGCCCTGTAGGATCACCATATTACAATTAGCTCTTAATTTACACCTGAAACATCACATGCAGAGACTTATCATCCTGATAGTGACTTCATGGAAGGTCTTGTGGCCCGAGGAGAACCAGACACCAGGATGCCATCCGGGTCAGTAACCGCTTCCAAGCTGTGCTTTTCCTTACCGGTGAAAAGTTCAACTTCTGCTACACAGAGCACTGCTAAATTTCAGTTTTACTCATTCCCAGATATTATCAGAGGCTGACAATAAATTAGCGTTCAGTTAAAAAAAAAAAAGAGTGAAGGGTGAAGGGAGGAGACAAGTTTCAAGTAAGTAGTTTCAAATGGGACCATTGTGGAGATGTGATTAGCTGCAAAGACACTTAGCAGCATATTGGGGGGGGGGGGGGGGGGGGGGGGGGGGGAGATAAATAAAACTGAAAGTTCAGCAGATTGTTCTTCAGACCACGTCTTCAAAGAACTGTTACCCTGTGCCAAACGCATCACACCCTCCGTCACGCAGATCCGACGGCAAACAAAAGCCATTACTCTGCATGAGAGCCTCTGACATACCCAGAGCTCTATAAATAAACGTAAGCACAACTGCAAAGCCACACAAACTCAGCAGAAGCATTTGAAGGTCTAGGCTACACAGGGGATAGACAGGCGAAGGCCAGCCTCAAACGCTCCTCACCTAGACCTTCAGGAAGAGGGTATTTCTGTCCTGAAGGGGTCGCAGGGGGAAGAAGAGTCACAGCATTAATATCAACAATAAAAATCAGCAGTGTGAAAAAGACTACGCCCCGCAGATGATGGGATGGTGACAGCAAAGATTAACCCATATCACACTGATTAGCTGGGTTTCATTCGTTAATCGAGGCAGTGTCCATTGGTGCCTCCAACCAATCATTGCTCATATCACCATCAGACACAGAATGACCATCCTGGACTCAGACAAGTGGGTCTGTTGAAACTCAGCACCACTCAAGTCTAAGAATCAAAGAAAGTTATAACATTAACTGTGAAATCAACAGAACGTCCCCAAAAGTGCTTTCGACTCACCTTTGTCTACGACATCCCACACTTCTACCTTGACGACGTCATCAGTCGCTGAGGAAGGACAGACATAAAAGACCATTTACACCAACGAAAAAACCCGGTCTCCAGATCAGTAAGCAGAGACTTAGCCAACATGGAGAAAGCAGGAAACACTCACATCCTGCTAAACTCATCGTCACACTCCTATTAGACAGCAGAACGAAAGCATTATGCAAAATGCTTGGATCTCACACACGGAGTTGGCCTCTTAAGAGCCAAGGCAAGTTCATCTGCAGCTTCTTCTCAACAGAGAAGACCCTCAGTGGGTTAAACTACTGGTAGCAGGCAGATTGAACTTCTCGTCCTCACTGCACATCAAACACTCCAACCTACTTCTATCTAGTCTAAAAGGGCGTGAGAAGTAAATATTTACCTATCTGGGATCCCACACCTAAAATGAAAGATGGATGTAGAGAAATGAAAAATGAAATATAGCAGTAATTTTACTTTGATTATACAAAGGCACCAGTTAAGCCTTATGAAATGGCAGGACACGGAGAAAACAAACATACAAGATGCCAAAAACGATTGTTGAACAGGACTTCTGATCAATGCATCATCTGGCAGGGGGTATGGGGCTGTCTTTGTGCCAAATGTCCCCACCCCATCCCACCCCCAGAAAAACGCTTCGCTTGGACACGTGCCGAGCTGATTGGCTCGCTCCCAGGGGTTAACGGACCATCAGAACAGTCCCACTGCGGCAGTGTCACCGCACTGCCTGCACGGCCACTTAGCAGGAAGACAACCTTAGCGATTCCGCCCCGATGTCACCTCTGGTTCGACGGTCATGAGGATAAACTGGTAGAGGTGAGTTGGGAGACAAGCTAGTGAATGTGGAAGAAGCAGTGAAGGAGTCAGCCTCTGTAGTGTGACGAGCCAAACATCGTGCTCCGTGACTAAATCATGGTAGTGGGGGGGCCAAAGCTTTCAGTGTAACGCGAGGAACACTTTGCATGTCATATGTCACCTTCCCCATGCAGGGACAGTAAGAGGGCAGGCCTCACTTTTGTAGTTCCAGTGGATGCTGGTGACCTGGATCTCCTGTGTTGGGATGTATTCCTCCAGGAACTTCCTCCCCTGCAGCCGGTGCCACAGTGTGCTCTTGCCAGTGTTCCTGTCCCCACGGATGACGATCTTCACTGGGGGGCACAGAGTGAAGTTCGTCTCAAAGCTCCTGTGACTGCGAGTCAACGTGCTTGGGCCTATGACTACTCCCTGAGGCCAATGCTGTTGAACCCTATATAGAACTTGTAAGGCCAAAATGCTTCCATATATATATATATACAGTAAATGGGGAAAAGCACATACCAAGATCATAGAAGCACATCCTTGGGGAACCAAATACACAGCAATGCACAAGGGCTGCTGGCTTGACAGGGGACATACTATAGACAACACTTAACCAATCACCACACTGACACTCAACTAACCAACCAACCACATATCCATATAAATCACACACCTACGACATCACTTGAGCAGCAGAAACAGCTACACACCCTGTCTTCCCCAAGCCAGCTTATTTTACAGTATCAGTGTTCAGTATATAGGGGCCTGGATTCAGGCAACGCACAAGCATCCTGAGTCCATAACCTTGGCGTCTGGCCAAAGGAAATCAACAGGAAGAGATCAAACACTGGACTAAAGGCCTCTTGTATTAAATTACGGCAATTTCTCACTGCGGTAGCGTTGGCTGAAATCAAGGCCCAACAGAGTGACATCATAACCCATATAGGACAATACATTGACTACTGTGCTCAAACAGGCAATTTATTCGACAGTAGTTAACAAACGTAATCTATCCATACTTATGTATACACTTTTCATAAAATATAAATAAATATCTAGAAGATTTTAAGTGCTACAGTTTAAGGTTAATGTAACTTATCCCACAGGCTATATTCCTTATTATGTATACTGCAGGAGATATTTTCTGTTTTGTTTTAGGCAGTAACATAATATTTACAAAGGGAAATAAGAAGGCAGTAGTATTTTCTAGTGCTCTAAAGCACTTTGGGCCTGAGACCCCCACAACCACCAGGAGCTTCAGCCGGTACCTCCACAATTCCAAGCCCGATCAGCGGGAATGCAGACTCCCTTAAAAGGTTCACTTACTATTGTACTGAACCCCCTTAGCGAAGCGTCGCTGCAGGCTCTGGTTCATAGACTGCAGGCCGGCAGGGATGTTCTTGTCCCTTTGCTGACCGGCTTCCGAGACGACCAGCTTCTTCAGCGCCGAAAACATCTTGTGCACAAAAATATATGTATATATCTGTTTACGAAAGAGGTATGCACTGGGGCGCCTTTTATTGTCGGGATCTGAAGCAGTCTCAGATGCAGGGAAAAGTTTCAAAAACAGACACTTTTCTGAGTGAAAAATAAAACGATATAGACTGAGGTAGTGGAGCTCAAAGTCGGTGCAGGCAGCAAAGCCCGCTGGCCCGGGAGATCCCCTCGGACAAGGGCGGGGAGCAGCTGCGTGGCAGGCGGGCGTCTCTGTGGGCAGCGACCGGTTTCGGGTGATCGGGCTGGATTTTCACTCGTGTTTTCATATTTGCCATCCGTCCGTGTCCCCACTTTCCGGCCAACATCCAGTAAAAGTCAGCGGCAGGAGTTCAGCCGTAGAGGCGCAGTCCGTGTATCTCGGCGGTGTCAGTATCCGGTTACAACCTACAAAAACAATCCCCTGAAGAAACGTGAACAAACGATTATCACTTATTCCAAAAGCACGTTTTTTTAAACAAATGCATATTCTTAAATGGCTTGGTACGTGATTGAATTGACTTTTAGAAAAGGAGCTGACATCGACGAATACGGCACTGCAGGTATATCACTTAGGCAAGACAGCCCGACACAGACCCGTTGATCTCCGGAAACCTGCTGTTGGACCATTTTTAGATCTTACCTATACGGTAGCTTTACTGATAGATTACTATCTGGCACCATGCACGTTACAACGTTATATGTTAAAACCCCAAGGACAGGTTTACTAGCCTAGCTTACAAAACGCGTTGGTTATTTAACCAACTGGTGCTTAATTGTATACCAGCTGACGACAACCAAAATGACTGGTTATCTGAACAAGCAGAAATGCAGACAATCATAACTTGATAAAAAAAAAACAACTACATTACAAATAAAAACACCCCAAGTTGGCTCTTCCCGATTCTCCTGACGCAGAGTCACCCCGACATTGGTTGCTGCATTGGTGCAGCCGATGTCATCGATCTACCCAAATTATATATATACTGCTTTTCCAATGCAACGTTTATAAACGTTTTATAATATTAACTATGAATTGGTCTTATTGCTATTACGCCAAGGTCTAAATTATAATAAGTCAAGTTCACACTTACGTATCCAGTTTTGTACTAGGAAGTAAAATCGACCATGCACATTGCTCCCTTCTGTTTCCTGCATCACTGCAGGAGATCTGAACCGAAATCGGAATTAAATCACCTTTCTAAACAAATGCTCTAATCCACACCATCCGCTCACGCCGATGTGGAGCATCACTACTCCTCCGCAGCAGCAGCCATCTTCCTAGCTGCTGCTGACTCCAGCATCAAGAAGGGAGTACGGAGCGCCCACCGGCTTTGGCTGCTTCCGGCGGCGGCGGCAGCGCTTCTAGTGGCCAGGAGACGACAGCGTGGGACGGCGGGCTGGACGTGAGGCGGCGCGGTGGGAGACGCCGATGCACGAGCCGTCCGTTACAGCCCTGCACTTAATTTACAGTTTTGCATATTTATTAACACACAACCAAGCTTTTCCTGCAGTATTTCGTCCAACAGAATATTTTGCTACCAAATTGTTATTTGAATAAGATTGTCGTATGACAGCAAACCTAGATTTTTTCCCTATAATAAAAGTATATACATTAGTTGTTAAAGTGAAACAGAAATACAAACGCTTCGTGTGTAGTGTTACATGCAAAGAGCTGCCAATCATATTCTTGGAAAAATAAATTAAATGCAAGATGTGACTGTACATTCCGCTACTGAGAAGGTATAAACGCCTTCCATTTTATTCTTATTTAATTGTTGATGCAGGTTTAAAAATAAATTTGTAAGTGTATAGATGAGGTGGTAGTGGTACGTTTTGTGCCCGTCTTAGGCTGAAATCTTGCAGATGCTTTACTCTCGGCAGCTTACACTAACTTGCGCCCAAACAGGTGGCTGACTGTCGCCATCCCTAGAAAGCGCTGGTATTTTTTAAGACAAAAAAGGGAGAAAATGAAAAATCTTTTACTTGTGTGACGCAATACGGTGAAAGTAAATAGATGTATTTCACTAGATACTGCTTGCTTCGTATCTACCGTCTCGGTATCTGACAATACATTGTGCTTTTTGGCTGTTATTATGCATTACATATCAAAGATCTCCTAAAAGCGGTTCCCCCGTCTGTAAGCCATGTATGATGCCAACATCTGTCTGGTTTCACAAATGACCATTCGGGTAAGTTAAGTGGTTACCTCTTTATTTACGAGATGCGTTACAATCTGGAAGGGACGTCTTTGGCGAGTATAATTACTTATACGCAATTTCTAAAACGGTGTGCCAAGCATAAAGCCTTAGACACCGGCGCTATTAAATAAAAATGCAACAGTGAGAATTACGTTAGATATCGTCCGAAAACGATCGCGACGTTTGCATCTTGTACATAGGAAAACGGTACCGCCGCGTTAAACCCGCATAACCCGCGCACACTTTGTTCGTGTTAAAAATGCCTGCGGTCTATTTGATATAATTTATGCAATTTGCATGGTTGCTACTTTCACAGCATAAAGGATGAAGCAACGATGAAGAGGCCCTCTTCGCAATACGCTGGCCTGTACTTTTAGACGGTCCCATAGATATTTAAAAATTAGTAATTTTAATGCAAACAAGACGAAGAGCTGACACACGAGCGGTGCTTACTAGCAAGCAGGACACAGTAACAAACGCTGTATATTTATGGACAGGATAAATGCATAGCCTACTTTCAGTTTGGGTGAAACTATATAATTAAAATATTACTGTATTTAATTTTTTAAGAGAATGCGTTCTAAAATAAAATATTTGTGCACGTGGCTTGCATTTCGCTGCCTCAGATACTAGAAAACAATCGCCTTATGTTATTACTGTACCAAAATATATCTAGCAATGTCGATTTCTCAAAATATGAACGAATAATCATTACACTGAGAATAAATTACGGTATTTGTAATACTAGGTTTATTTTAATACTAGGCCAGGGTGTAACGTATTACAACAGATTTCTTTGTGTGTATTATAATACTTAATTATAACAGTAAATTGGACAGTAGCGTAGGAACCACCCTCTACGTCTACGTACCCGTTCCAGAATGGCCTCGTTCTTACCCCATCTCAAAGCCGTCTTTATGATGCGCTCGTTCCCATTGGTTAAAACGGTTCAATATCCCGCCCAGTCAAAGATTAAACTAGAAATTATAGCCAACCAGCATCGCACACTTATATACTGTATTTTCATGTGATTGAAATGTAGTTACACTATTTTCTGTGAAAAGACGATAAAAATAAAACAATGCATTGAATTTTTGAATATATTCCCTGTGATGGGTTGGCGTTGTGTCCAACCCTGTGTCCTATGCTGACCTTCCACATCCCTGACCAGGATAAGCAGTTAGAAGATGGATGGATGGAGATACACTTTCATAGCTATAAGGAATGACGGTGCGTTTTAACCGTCTGTGCATCAGTTTTCCGCACCAATTCTGGACCCAGGTGATCCAAACCCTTTCAGCAGAGGTACAATCATATAAACAACGACATATATGTGCTAAAATGTGTCAAAAACTGATTCAGATGAGTGTGAATTAAAATCTGATGGGCTGTGTTCTTGCTTTTAGTAGACTGAGTGCGTGTGTGTGCATGAGGGGCGATGACCACTCAGGACCTGTCGCCGACGGCGATGCCAGAAGCGAACAAGCCGGGATTCCCGAAGACCATATTGGCCAACAAACTTGAGGACAAGCATCTGTGCAATTGCTGCCGGAACATTCTGAGGAGACCGTTCCAGGCCCAGTGTGGCCATCGATTCTGTTCATACTGCTTTAACAGGACTGTCAGGTAAGCAGTGGATAGCAATAATCTTAGCGTCTTGCCTCCTGGACTGGGTTTGATTCTTCAAGGCACAGTATAAGCACAGCATGACAATTTAGGAAGCAACTAAAGGCAAACTTTATTTTTTCCCAGATAAATAGCATTGAACATTTTCTCTGACTGCATAAGACTGCACATTCTGTACAGTATGATAGCATGAATCTATACTTATCAACAACACAGTAATAGTAAAAGCAAAAATAAAAAGATTAACAATTGCATTTTGTGAAACGTTATTTAAACATCATGATGTATTCATGCATCACAAGGGTCCCCTGAAACTAAATAGCTTTTTTTTGTGTTATTGTAGTTCTGGACCACAGAAATGCAGTGCTTGCATTGAAGAAGACATATTTGAGGAGCCCATGTCTATCCTCAAGCCGGGCTGTGTAACTATCTCATTTTGTCTGTACTGTTTATTTTATCCATTATCTGGACTGATGGATGTGATACCAGAAGTACAGTTAATCTGTTCAATTTATTGTGGATGGATCTAGACCTGTGTCAAATAGAAGGGCCAGTAAGTTGATACAGACGCTCCCTGGGTGACGATGGTCTATGTTACTATATTTTGACTTTACGATGGGTATTCCAATTCCATTCTGTTTTCACTTTCAGTACATTATTCATTAAATTACATGAGATATTCAACACTTTATAAAATAGGCCTTGTGTTGATGATTTTGCCCAGCTGTAGTTAATGTAAGTGTTCTAAGCGTGTTTAAGGTAGGCTAAGCTAGGCTATGATGCTTTTTATGTTAGGCGTACTGTATTAAAATGCATTTCGCCTTACGATATTTTCGCCTTACGATGGGTTTATCGGAAAGTAGCCCCATCATAACCCAGGGAGCATCTGTATACTGTATGCTTTTGCGTGTGTTCATACTCCACTGTCTTAAAAGGAATTACAATCGCAGATATTATGTCTGCTTTTATTCCGAAGTTCAGAACAGGTTTTGGGGTTGTGGTCAGTGCAATTACAGTGTGTGAGCTGGCTTCTTTTTGTTTATTTTCATTTTTGTTTTTATATGTGCACCCGAAGGCCTTCCCAGATAACGCCGCTCGCAGAGAAGTCGAGAACCTTGCCGCAGTTTGCCTAAACGAGGGATGTACCTGGAAAGGCAGTATTAAAGAATACGAGGTAAGGTACATCACGTCTTCATGATTCATGACCTCAGTAGAATAAGATTTCATCTGCCTGAATGAGAGACCGTCATGCTTTTCAGGACAAATGCGTGAATTTTTGTAACAGTTTATTTGGGAAAGCATTTTTTGGCTAAAATTAAAGCATAAAAATATTTGTAGAAGCACATTCTATTAACAGAAATTTTATGTCAATGATTTTGTTGACCGTTTATAAAAGCGATACTGGCATCGGTTTGGTTTACGAACTTGGCAGAACCTCCACAAGACTATTTTCGTCTTGACTTTCCTCTCAGAGTAAATCGATCACACGGTGATCTATAGTGCCGATGTGTGCTGTCTCTTTTCTGCTCAGAGATATTGTTAGGGCCCATGCAGAGTAATACGTCAGCTGATGCAGATGCCATTGCTTGGTCAGCGTTGTTTCATGGTTGACCAAACGAATCACTTCTTTTTATTTCGGTGATACAGCTGAACCACGAGGCTAAGTGTGAGTTCATGGTCATCGCCTGTCCCTCCTGCAAAGAGCACATCCGGTTTAGCGAGCAAGAGCGACACAATGAGCGGGAGTGCTCTGAAAGGACCCTCAACTGCAAGTACTGCAAGGAGCCATTCCACTTCAAGAACATAAAGGTGCGGGAGCAACGTCTCTCGATCACGGCAAACATGGCCGTCAACCGCTGACAGAACATAAAGGTTGTAGTACCAGTGCTGCACAGTGGGTGGCGCTGTCACATCACACCTCCGGGCCTGGTGGTTCGAATCCCACCCCTGCTCCGTGTGTGTGCAATTGCTATGTTCTCCCTGTTGTTGTGTGGGTTTCCTTTAGGTATTCTGTTGCAGTTTGAAAGCATGCAGTTACGTGTCTTAGCATCTCCATAGTGTGTGTGTGTGTGTGTGCGTGTGTGTGTGTGTGTGTCCTGTAATGGACTGGAATCCCCTTCCTTATGCTGCCTGGGATAGGCACCAGCCCCCCGCCCCCCCTGCCCAATGACCTGTCCGGGATATGTGGTTAGAAGACGAATGGTGGTAATAACTTCAATGCCGTATCACCACTATAGTGTTTTAGCAGTTTTACTTCTGATTAGTGTGCTTAAATTGGCTTTTTATAGAGCTAATAAACAGCAGTAACACAGTGGCCTTCCTGGTTTCCTAGGCTCATGATGAGATCTGTCCCAAGTATCCTATGATTTGTGAGGGCTGTGCAAAGAAGAAGATCCCCAGAGAGAAGGCAAGTGATCCGCCCAAAAAAATTAACTCCAAGCTTATTGGCTCAGTATCTGAAACGACTTACAAGTTTAGCCCTTTTCAGAAGAGGATTTCGAATATCAGGTGAGGTAATCACCCAGCTTCCCCCAAGGTATTCGAACCTGCAACCCGCAGAATGAATATATGTGAAGTGCCGTCGACCCAGTCCTGCCCAAACTTGGCCGTACATGGCACTGTATTGGTCGTGGCACTGTCCATTTACTGAATGTGAGTGATGTGCACTTTCCTGCCTGAGTTTTCTGGTAAAACTTTACATCAACTGCACCTTAATAGTGCCTTTATAATGCATTTATAGAACATTCATAAGCAGCATGTAAGTACACCTTAACATCCTGTCATGCCTTAACAGCTTTATTATACATTAATAACAAACATTATACAGTAATCGGAGTGGCATGGTGGTGCAGTGGTTAGCGCTATCGCACTGTCTCCGCCTGGGTTCACTGTGTCGAGTTTGCATGTCCTCCCCACGTCATCATAGGGTTTTCTCCAGGTGCTGCGGTTTCCCCCCACAGTCCAAAAACAGGTTGAGGTTAACTGGAGTTGTCCATAGACGTGCCTGTGTGAGTGAGCCCTGAGGTGAGGTGTCCCGTCCTGAGTTATTCCCTGCCTTGCACTGTAGCTTCCAGGACAGGCTCCAGACGCCAGTGACCCTGAATAGGACAAGTGGTTTCAGAAAATGGATGGATTGTGTGATAACAACAAGCATTATAATCATGTAAAGTTTGTTGTTAATGTATAATAAAGCTATTAAGGTATGTTACCATGTTACGTTGTACTTACACAATGTTAGTGAATGCATTATGAAGGTGCACTGAATGTTGTATTAATGCATTATGAAGGTGCAGTTTATGTAAAACATTATCATTTTTTTGTGATCCTTCCTGCAGTATGTGGACCATATCAAATTCTGCAGTAAATTCAGGACCCCCTGCAGATTTCACGTTGTGGGGTGTGATATGTCTGTAAGTGGACTGTTCTATATTTTCAAAGCATATTCATCTTTGACTTCTCACCGGAAAATGTCTGTAAGAGTTACTGACAAAGAAAATAGGCCTACTGGCTTACAGTATAATACTAAGGAACTGTGGAGTTGGATAGTCAAGACTGTAATATAATTTCAGACCACATACTGACTGTCTGTCGGCATCGTATGTGTATTAAAACAGTCAAGACTGTAATATAATTTAGTACCACGTATTGAGTGTCATTTGGCATCTTATTTGTATTAAAAGTCAAGACTTTAATATAATTCAAGACCACATATTGACTGTCAGCTGGAATCGTTTGTGTATTAATAATAATCTGTTCTGATGTGTAGTTTGCAAAGGCTGTAGATGCTTTGCTCCAGTTGAGGTCTTATTCTTCACGTGTTTATTTTCATTGCATCTCCGCGCTGCTCGAGGTGGAGAAGGAGAAGATCCACGAGCACGAGCGGGCCTGCTCCTACGAACACCTCAACCTGCTGCTGCACTACATCATGGGTCTGAAAGTGAACCTGGAGGGCATGCAGCCGCAGAGCCTCGAGCTGGCCAGCCACAAGATCCACGAGCTGCACCAGTCACTGCGGGACCTGGAGGCCAAGGTGGGCCAGCTGGGCTCCCCACCTGCTCCGGCGCAGGCCGTTGCGGCCGCCGCGCCCGCCCCGCCGCCGCCCCCGCCCACGCTGCCCACCTCCTTCACGCCGTTGCCCAGTGCTGCTGGTGCCGCCCTGGAGCTGCAGCTGCAAAGCGAGAAGGCCAAGGTGTCCGAGCTGGGACGCCGGTGCCAGGAGCTGGAGCTGAAGGCCGGGGCCTTTGAGGGCGCCGTGTGCACGTTGAACCGCGAGGTGGAGCGTTCCGCCACCAACCTGGAGGCCAACGTCCGGCAGCACCGCCTGGACCAGGAGAAGATCGAGGCCCTCGGAAATAAGGTAGGGGCCCTGTTTGGGTCTCTCACTAATGAGGAAGAGTGATAGAAAGGCTTCCACTGACCAATGAAATCAGAGTAAACCAGTATAAATCAGGAAAATAGCTTGCTGCTAAAGGTTTCAAGTTTCAAGATTTATTGATACATGTGTTCTGAGAAACAGTGAAATTCTTGTGCCACAGTTGCAGGGGAGGGGACAGGTGCATGCAGGGGACAATAGGACAAACAACAGTACAATAAGAGAAGTGGCTATTAATATGGAGTATGACTCAATATGACGGTTTTCTCTTGAGGGTGACTAATAGGAATGTTCAGAATTGGGTTGTCAGTAGTGGACAAAATGGACAAAATGATGCTTCATGTTATACTTTTTGACCCCACTAGATGGTGCTCTATTTAAAAAAAAAAAGAAAAAAACAAGCACAAGGTATGTCCCAAAGCAAACCAAGAGCACCATCTAGTGGGGGCGAAAAATACAGCAAATGGTTCATGAAGAGTCATTTTGTCCATCACTCATTGTCAGCATTCTGTACGTCATGCAGTCTGTCTCTGCATGTAGCAATGTTTAGAATTATTATTTTTTTTTTTAGAATTTAGTGGTCTGTGGTCGTTGACACACCACAGCACACAACAAAGAAATGTGTCCTCTGCATTTAACCCATATGTGACATTGTGACATAGCAGGGGGCAGCTGATTCAGCGCCCGGGGAGCCGTGCTTGGGGACGGTACTTTTTCAATTACAAGTGTGCGTCCCTAACCATTAAGACACCACTGCCCACCCGTGTTCTCATCAGCATTTATATGCATGCCCATGCATCTCAGGTGCGCCAGCTGGAGAGGACGGTGGGCTTGAAAGACCTGACCATCAGCGAGATGGAGAGCAGGTTGCGTGAGATGTCCGCCACCACCTTCGACGGCGTCTTCGTCTGGAGGATCTCGGACTTCGCCAAGAAGAGGCAGGACGCCATAGCGGGCCGAGCCCCTGCCATGTTTTCCCCAGGTAACCAGCACAGGTCACGTGACAAAGGAGGCAGGTTGTTGTTGGACTACTGAATGACCCCATCCATCCATCCATCCATCCATCCATCCATCCATCTTACAAAGTCATTTATCCAGCACAGGGTCACCAAAGTCTGGAACCCATCCCGGGCAGCATAGGGTCTGAGGCAGGGCACATCCTGGATAAAACCAGAATATCCTAAAATAATGGAAAAAAATATATATTTTCCATTCCACCTACAAATTAACATATTTACTAAGTTAAGGTCAAAGTGGGTTTCCTGTATACAACAGTGACAGCTACATTTTATGGCGTTAAATTAATAGATCTTTTGCTGCTGGGGACTTTATTATTATTAAATTATTATATAATAATAATATTATTATTATTAAATTATTATTATTATTATTATTACTATCATTATTATTGTCATTTCACTGTCTAAGGAAAAGTTTGTCTGGTCTCCTAATCATTTTTTTGTGTGTGTGTGTGTGTGTGTGTGTGTGTATATATATATATATATATATATATATATATATATATATATATATATATATATATATATATATATAAAACCTACTAGATTAACTCCCAATATGTTAATGCACATTTTGTTACTATACTTCCCTCTTTCAGAAAGTAAAATAGTTATTGAAAATTTTATAGGATAAATGTCTCAAAAGAAAAAGAGGATGATGAGATGGGTTAGGGTTGTAAGTCATACTGTTCATTTATTGCAGACACCTACTGCTCGCTGTAACTGTGAAGCTATTTCTTTATGGTTGTTGTCTTATTTTCAACTATTCTCTAAATTAAACGTTACAAAAAAGAAACCAGAGTACCCAGTGGAAACCCATGCTAGTATGGGAAGAACATGCAAACTCCACACAGATCAGAGGCAGGATTCAAACCACTAACCATGTAAGTATGAAGAAACAGTGCAACCAAGAGAGTCACTTTGTCACGCTAAAGATCTGCTTCGTGATACATTACATATGACCAAAAAAACACTGCAAACGTGCCTTGGAGTCCAGCTTTCAGTGTCAAATAGTCTTGAAGTCCTGGTGCTAGGAAAACGAGAATGTTGGAGCTTCAAATGCACCACATGAAAGCAGTTTCTGGAACATTCTTCGTCTCATACTCCCTACCCCAGCATTCTACACCAGTAAATACGGCTACAAGATGTGTCTGCGGATTTATCTGAACGGCGACGGCACGGGCCGCGGCAGCCACCTCTCCCTCTTCTTCGTGGTGATGCGGGGGCTCAGCGATGCTCTACTCAAGTGGCCCTTCAACCAGAAGGTGAGTCCACCTGGGGCCCCTGGAGCTCAGGTGTTCGACTCACTCTGATAGGTCTTTGAAAGATCACGCAAAGCATTACCTTTGTCCTTTTCTTTTCCTTAAACACAAGCGGTATCATATCTTGAACTGAAAATCCCTATATTGTTTTTGAATATGTGTGGATATAAGGAGATAAAAAGGCACCCATTTTTATGTTTTTTTTTTTTACTTTGTTTTTTTTTTCTGTAAAAGCAACTGGCTGCAAAACTGACTAGATTTGTGCTTGACAAGAGCAAAAGTCTCCCCCAGAAAGTGGCTCAGGTGTCTCCTGTGGCCAGGTGACGCTGATGCTGCTGGATCAGAGCAACCGCGAGCACATCATCGACGCCTTCCGGCCCGACGTCAGCTCCAGCTCCTTCCAGAGGCCCGTCAGCGAGATGAACATCGCCAGCGGCTGCCCGCTCTTCTGCCCGCTCTCCAAGCTGGACTCCAAGAACACCTACATCCGAGACGACACCATCTTCATCAAGGCCATCGTGGACCTGACCGGACTCTAGCCCCCACCATCCCTCCTCAGTGCTCCATGCCCATACCCACATTTCCAACCCCCCCCCCCTCCCAAGGCCTCATCCGAGGTTCCATTCCAGCTTTGCGCTTTTGGTGAGTCGACGTGCTGTTGGACATTGTGAAGGTGTGTCCTCTCGGTTCCTGTGCAGTGTCGTGCCCGTGCGCTGAGCTGCTGTGCTTGATGTCCCTTGGGCATGGTTTGACTTATTTAAGTGCAATTGCTGTTTTAAGGTCAGTCCAGCAGATGGTGGTATAGTGACACAGTTGCTGAAGGACTCTGAAACAAATAATGTGGTAAAGCTTCAGAACAAGCACAGAGAACAGGGTGTGCTTAGAGAGTATTGATGAGTTATTGCGAAGTATTTCATTTTTTTGGAATGCTAGATTGGAAACTACTAAAAATGACTATTTGGCCAGCAAGGAACTGGCCTCTGATCAGATCATAATGGTCTGCTTCAGGTTACACCCAATCAGAAGCTTTTCCCCACCGTTTTACATAACGGACCAATGAGTGCCAACAATAGAAAGCTTCCTGGGACCCCACCATATCAGTATCGGTGAATACGTTTTGTCATTTCTGTGCCGTATCTTTCCATATATATGAAAAATAACATTTTTTTTCATCATTTTTTCCACGCTCCTATTAAATAGCATCTGGTGCTAAGTAGTTTGTGTTTATTAGGGTTAAGGCATTTGAGCTTCTTACTTTCTTTTCAGTAGATTGATGCTGAGACGTGTTGAAGATTTAAATGAAGTCCTTGGATTTCTGTCACTTGCTCGTTTTTGGGTTTGTTTTTGTACAGATTGCTGACTCAGCTCAGCAAGAGATACCCTGCCAGTAAGAATATATACCTCATTAGGAAATTAGTAGTAGGTGACAGTAGAGATTAGCTCAATATCCACAACGATTAGTATCGTGTCCTGTTTGCATTTCACTGGCCAATTTTCTCCATGCACTCGTTCTTTCATTGTGGAAAAGGGGTGCGGCCACAAACATTTTGTAAAGCAGCCCTGACAGACACCCGGAACTGTTCTTTGTGTGCAGAGTTGCCATTTGTAGGTTTATGGGTATACTGTCTGTAAACTTATGAAAGCTTGTTGTGATGAGTGCCCTTTAATAAACGGCTACTGGTGAAGAGTTTGTTAGATTTGACCTTTATTTTAGTGTTAAGCCCCAGTGGTCAAGTCTCTAGCTCTGTTGTTGGGTTTTGGCTTTTTTATGATCGGCCGTTACAAAAAATACACTACACTGCATGTTTTTTTTTTAACAATAGGTTATTACAAAGAAATACACACATTACTTCGTTGTTTCCCTTTTCTCTATTTATGGCATTTGGCCACTAGGGTGCAGTATTTCACACGAAGCTCTGTGACACACCGTTACTTGCAGCCCCAGTGAAAGGTGACGTCATGGCAACATAAACCTTTTATTGTTCGAACCAGCCTGTCAGAGCCTTTTCATAAAAATCAAAGCGCTTGTGAACATCTATCATCTGGAGCCTAACAAGTAGTTAAATAAGGTGTAAGCACTGCAAACGGGAAGAAACACTGAGTATAAAAACGTAAGCGCTAGGCTAGACAGGGTTTATAATATATTTCTTCTAATAGTGTTTCTTATTTGCTTCTCTATGGAATATACCAGAAAATGTTTTAGAAATGTGTTTTCCATGTAGCGACTTTGCAATCAAGCATATTTTTTTCCGGCATCTGGGTTTCGAAGCAATTTATTTGATCACTGAAAGCTGAAATTGTTCCCGTCTTATGAATAAAAGTTCATTTTGTCGTGCGTATTTTTCGTTGAAAATAATTTCAGATGATGTAGGCGATGTTTATGGTGACCGTGTGAGTAGATCTGTTTCCGTATGCTCCCACGGTTGAAGGTTCGAATCCTGCCTTTACTGTGTGTGGAGATGATATATTGTCTCTGTGCTTCTCAGATTACCTACCAACACTGATGTTTTTTCCTGTAGTACAAATCCATGCAGTTAGGCTAAATGACCTCTGTAAATTGCCTGTAGTTTGTATTTGATCCCTGTGATGGTCTGGTATCTCAGCCTTATGCCTTGTGCTCTCCAGCCCTGACTAGGATAAGTGATCAGAAAATGGATAGAAGGTGACTTTCACTGTTATGCCATTTTCCGATTAAAGGCAAACGGCTTTGAATCATCCTCTTTTTCTGCTGCCTCTACATACTGCTCCTGTGCAGCTGATCTTCAGTCCCCACATGCTTTGCATTCAGCTTGGGAACATGTTTGTTTTTCAGTCTGAATCTGGTGTTGTTCCTGGAGGCGAGCAAGTTGCCGTGATCTCCGGGGGTGGGCAAGATCCTGGCACGAATTTCAAAATGCCGCAACTAAAGGCCCGAATCCCTGCATTCAGTTCTTTATTTAAAGTGAAACAAAAAAACACCCCATTCATTTAGGTACTGCTGCTCCATTTATCCTGGCCTTTAGTGTCCTCCAGACCGCTGTGGTTCGATCATTACCCCATTACCCCATCTTCCGTCCGTGCGACCGGCAGTGAATTTGCCGCTATCTGTTTGTGATTGCAGTACTTCCCTAAAACGATTGCCTAATCTGTCCCTTTTGGTTCTGAGATGTGAGGACGCACACGCTTGTTAAAATGGAAGCAGGTGTCTGTGACCAAACATGAATCTTTTTACGCATTCAGACTAGGCCGGGAGGTTTGGCACAATCCAGATGGCGTGGCACAGCCAAAAAGGTCTGATTCTAGTTAGAATTTATCTGTACCAACTGTCCCCATGCTCTTTAATTTCACTGCCACTTCTGGAGAAAAGGCTCCTGGTCGTGGCCCATTCTGGGACTTTAAAAAACAAAATAACTGCTGGAGGATTGTCTCAGAGAAGCTTCAGTCACAGGTGGGGCTTGGTTTCTAGTCCATGGTAAAATAAGGGTAGGAGTGTTGTAGACTAATGAGAAAATACGAAGAAAACAACGCCCATGAAAGTGAGTGTTCAGTTAAATTGTTCTGTTTTTTAACCATTTTCCATTGCCAGTAGTCTCCAGATGTAAACTGCAATTTGCCCCAGTGGAATGGCAAAACTGATTACATAACCCCTGGACTGCAGTAATATCACATTATAAGACTCAGAGGTGTAACTCGTACTCGGTTAGTAATGTTTGCTAAGTAAATGCTTCTCCTCATGATTTATGCTCTGTTGACACCCTTTGACCACTTATTTCAAATCCACAAGTTTGACAGCTGGAATAAGCTCTAATTTTACCCAGTTGTGTTTGCTCTTAATATGAGTTATATGAGTAGAAGATAGATGGCAGGATGAGGTGTATTTATTGAAAATCATATTAATGAAGGCAAATCAAAGTTCAGGTTTTTGATTTTGGCTGTAATCAAACACATTTATAAAACTCATTGGTAGTGGGATTATGTTAATGTACATATATTTTACTTGAGCCCAAATGTTTTTGTTGTTCATTATTACATGTTTATTACATATTGCATGTTTTTTGTTGTTCGTCATTATGTATATTATATATATTTGTAATGCATGTCATTAGTTTGTATCGGTCCCAGGAAATGATTGACAGCAGTCACTAACACCGCTTTGTCTTTCCATTAAATGCTTACCTAAAATGTCCATCCATCCATCCATTGTCTAACCCGCTTATCCTACTGGGTCGCGGGGGGGTCCGGAGCCTATCCCGGAAGCAACGGGCACGAGGCAGGGAACAACCCTGGACCCCCAGACAAATCCACCCCCCCCTCCCTACCACAAGCGCTTATATTTGACTGGTAAAGTGAAATAAGAGTAATGACTTGTCAAAGATGTAGAATGAAACAGGTCAGAATCAGATTTAACAGTCCAAAAACGGTGAGAACCTGAGGACCCGGTCAGTTTAAAAGCTGGATGACACACAGAATGCAGCGTTTCTGTCCTGCGTCTCAGATGCATCTAAAGCCTAATGCAGCGGATGGAGAAACGGGACTGAATGACGGCACAGGGCAGGAGGTGGTGTAGTGAGGAATGGAACCAGCGGGCTGTCGGTGAAGGCTAGACGGGGGAGACGTTCTCACAAAACTGACCCTGCTTTGTTCCTCCAGGGGATGTACAGCCATTCAGAGAGCTGCAAAGAATTAAGCTGCTGTCACGATTGTAACACACTGTATGGAGAGATGTCCCCTGAGCTGACTGTGCAGCTGCTCTTACATTTCAGTCTAACTGCATTTTTAGTGTTTATGTACATCTGTAATGAAATTCTGAGGGTGGGCTGGTGTCCTGTTTAGGGGGTGCCCTGTACTTTTTGGGGTGGCTTCCAGTCTCAGTGACCCAGTTCCAGATGAATAGTTACGGAAAATAGACATGGATAAAAATGTCTAATACTAAAAGTGGAAAATACTAAGATTTGGTAGTACTTTGTATAAGAACTAAAATGTTTGTTCCGATTAAGTTTTTTTTCCATTAAACTTTAACAGAATTACTATGCACGGTCTTGTAAAACACATACATACACAAGTGGGTGTCTAAATGGTGGATTTATAGTGAAACTTCAGTTGTAATTTTATTTACTGTATCAATCCTGAACCGATCCTGTCATGTAGGAGATTTCCGCAAGTCTCGAGCCATGCAGCGCCACCTGCTGATAAACTGACAGACAGCCCTTGTCTTGCTGTTTTTGTCTCCACTACCTGGATGATCACTGGAGCCCATTAAAATAAACATCTCCAGATGGGAAGCTAAGATTGGCTGTAACAAATGAGGAGACCTCACACCTCCAAGCCTGATCTGGAGTTTGCTGAAGGATTTTTTCCCCCAGACCAGTTTTCTCCCACAGCAGAACAGTATGATGTTGGGTTTAATTGATGACTATTTTAAATGGGTGTTTCAGTGCTTCCTGCCTTCACTCTGTGCTTCCTGCAGAAGGCTCCTTCTTAACATGACCCTGGCTCTGTAAACATCCATCCATTTTTTATACCCACTTGTCCTATTTAGGGTCTGGAACCTATGAGTTTTTGGACTGTGGAAGAAACCGGAGAACCCGGACCAAACCCTACAACGACACGGGGAGAACATGCAAACTCCACACACACGGAGCCATGTCAGAGACTCAAGGCCCTAGAGACACTGCACCACTCTGCCACCCCTGTCTGTAAACAATTATTTATAATGGGTTGACAAGCCAGACAGAAATCACAAATTGGTTAAAAGGTAAACAATAACACAGAGTAAAAGGGTGACTGCATGATGGGAAATGTTTCTTCTGCACTTGAAGGATCCCACTGGTCTCATACTACTGTCTGGGGGGATGTACAGCCAGTATTTGTGTCTCTCATTCCTGCTTTGGTTACGGTCATCCTATAAAAAAATCCTGCTTAACAACCAGAGGGGAGAGTGGGATTTAAATGGACGTCTGCACAGCGTGCTGAGTTTGCCCTGCAGCCCAAACAGCTGCCTGATTAGAGCTGCTGTTGCCCATATGCTCAGCTCTGGCCAGACTGAGGCAAAGTGAATCTGTTGGGGTCATAGTTATGGTTCTGACCCACCACTGATTACTATGGAGAAAAAAATCAGTATAGAACAGGGGTGGGCAATCTTATCCCAAAGGGCTGCTGTGTATGCAGGCTTTTGGGATAACCTTTAGGTCAGCTGCTCAAACCCAGGTGTGAGGACTCTTCAGCCAATTAGTCTTCTAATTAGTAATAAAATTAGGGTGTTACAGCAAAAACCTGCATACCCAACGGCCCTTTCTGGATAAGATTGCCCACCCCTGGTAAAGAACCTCATGGTCTTTGTTAGCGTTTGATACAAAATCAGCACTTTTGTTTTGCAAGACCACCCAATAGCAACAAGTTTCCAGGAAGGGTAAAACTAATGTTTAAATGTGTTGCCCACAGCTGGGATTGGTAGCCGTCTGCAGCTAGGGGCAAATGAAAAGGTTAAGTGACATTTGTTCTGTGAACACTAGAGGGAGACAAATACACCTTGGTGAACGTATTGAACGGCTCATGTCTGCTTTTCGTTCCTGTAGCTTTACTTGGTCTTAAATATCAGGACATTGAGCTGGTCGGTGATTTAGTGATGTCACCTGAGTCTAATTTTTAATCACTCTAAGTATTTTGATGTTTTATTTAAGGACACACTGTGTTTCTACTTCATGGAAAATAGGCCTATAAATCATATTTGAATTATGACATATTTCCACAAATTTATTTTCTGATCACTGACGCTTTCCATGATTGAATGTGATTCTCGCCTATTTTTCTTGGTTGTTTCAAATTGTTACATTTGAGAATTTCACAATCTGTACCCGCATAAACCAAGGCTGCTGGGCTGCACTTAGCCATCTGTGGACATTATTGAATTCAGCCAGATTAAGTTCTTTGTCAGATTCCTCTGCAGATCACAGCATCTCCATGTGCCACCACTGGAGCCGTGACTGGCAAACCTATCTGTGTCAAAAAAAACATACTGTTGGTAGTCTGTAGGATTTGGTGGTGAAGAGGAGTCCATCTTAGTAATATTTCTACAGCTGATATTACGAATGTTAATTAAACAAAAATGATCTCTACCTGCTCTCTTTTTCACAGGAAAAATATATAGTAGCAGCTTTTGCACACAATCCTAAAAATCTGACAGTTTAATATAGCCGGTTGTAGTATAAAGGATCAATTTCCTAAAACTACTCTTTGCCAACATGCTTAGCATGGTTGCCTAATTACTGCAGATGTTTTTTTTTGAGTGCTATTGAGAGTATTGAAAGTTCTCCCCTCCTCCCCGGTGTCCATAGTGTGTCCATAACTTCAAACTCTTCGCTAAGCCTTGGGTTGTTTGTTGATTGCTGCATTTTAGCCGGGATATTTGTGCGGACACCACCGCATTTTTCAGAGGTAGTGTCTACTTCTGGCAAGACTGGCTCCCCAGTCCCTGCGCTTGGTGGCAATAGTAATTGCAGTGCATTCGCACTGTACATGCAGAGCAGTCATACTCTAGACACTGTGCACTTGCAAGGCATTCTGGGAAGGAAAGGGTGAATGTCATTCGGCATAATCATTTGGTTTTAGATACTTGGTTTCTTGCTTTGTTTCATTTCTTTTGAATCTCTAATTATAATAAAGTAACACATATGAATAGTCATTTGCAGAGAGTTTTCTCTCACCATTGGTGAGCAGAGGCTAGTGGGCCAGTACAGCTTGGCGGACTGCCATTTTACACGCGTACTCATTCATTTATATTAGTTTATGGAGTCTCATTTCTAAAAATGTCCATCATATGTTTTAAGTGTTAATGATTTGGTGAATGTTACTGTGTATATTATCAATGAGTTGAGGTGTGATATTGGCTTGTCAAGTGAAGCTTGGTCAGTAGGACTGGTTCATGAGTGTATTAAAAGTGAACATTGAATTCATTGAAGGTGTCAGTGACGAGTATCTGCTGTTCATTTAATTCAGTAAATTGCTTCACGTGTTAAACACTTGAAAATACACAAGTATCTTCTATGTGCCAGATTTCCTTCCTCTTCAGGAATGATTGTTAACTGGCAAATGTGGACGTTCTAACTGCTTCCTGGTCAGATGTTTTTAGGTGTATCTCTCTCTCTTTTTTTTTTAGAAGGCTCTGTGTATTAAGTACTCTGTTTACCAGTACCAGATGATATGACGTAAATGTTGTACTTTATTATGTGTTGCCAAGAAGGAAAACAGCTACTGTTTACTCTTGAGTGTCTTCATGAAGGAAAAGTTTGGACTCTGTGCTTAAGTTTTGGGGATTTGTTCTTCCTTTTCTTAACTTTTCAAAGGAAACTAAAAAAAAAAAGGTAAACATGCATTAAAAAGAAGTTAGTAATAAGATT